CCTTATGCACACGTTTTTAAGCCAACTAAAAGGTTACGTGCGTGATATAGAAGAAGGTTGGTGCTTGAGGATTTATTAACTAGTTAAGCCCTCATCACTGGCGCGTACTCAGAATGTTTAACTACGGCATTCACCACTTCATCACAATACACTACATAGCTCCAATGCTGAGCATGCCAAGGTCCGGAAAGAGCGCGCTCTGGCACTTAATGGAACATGACCCGAACACCCTTTGTATCCAGCTTTGGCAAAGGTACTATCAAATCATGAGCTGGCATGACGTCCGACTCGTCTGTCTCGTAAAGGCTGAAATCGGCACCTCCGGGGCGGAACAGAGCGGCGAGGATGTGATTAAGTTCACAATAGGCAAGACTATTCAAATTGGCAAGTCAGAGACGATATCCCCTCCGGTCAACCCGATTGACAATAGGGCCGGGTTTAAAGGACAGGCTTACTTCATTCCCAAACAGTGCCGTGACCCCTTTGAAAATGGGATGAAGTTGCGATTCATCTCGGGAGTAACGTTCTCCAGCCATCGCTCAGGTATAAATTCTAATGGTCGCGGAAAAATGTGAGGATTGCGATGCGCGAAGTATGCGGACATGCCAACCGGAACGCCGGCTGGGATCACCCACTCCTTGAACCGGAGAGCTTGTTTCGGAGAAACACGCGGACGGCGGTGCATTGTGCCGTAGCTGAGGCTATTACACACAATGTCAGTCAGTCAGCTGTTTTTAATGATGTTTCAGCCACCAGAGACACGAGGAAAGAATACCGAAGGCCCTCTTTAACCAATGCCTGCAAATATGCTACCTTCTCCAGTTGGGCCCAACTCGGTTTCCTCTGAGGGTAGCCCTCCATGACAGGCTTCAGCTCTTCTTCTAAACGTTTCCTGATAGCTGGATTGGCTATTATGTGATAGCAAAGGAAGCCCATCGTCCCAGCTGTGGTGATTGTGCCAGAACCAATTAGGACTTGGGCTTCCTTCGACAGGCGCTCGTCTGTGAGCTCAGATGGCGGAAGGTCACTGCTGACCATATGCCGGAAAAGGGTGAGGCGCCCACCCATCGCTGTCGTATCTTTGGATCCTAGGGCAGCCTTTTCACGCTTGGCCACGCGGAGATGTTCGTCGCACATCTAAAAAGTGTCAGCAGGGAAATGAAGATAGAGATGATGGGATTTGGGGCTTATTGATACCAGCTTGAACTTGTTGAAGGTCTGACTCCTGGCATCCAGTTTCGCGAGAATGCTCTCGGGAATAAGACGGATGAAACTATTCGGATTAGCAAATGAACTTTATGGATGCGGAGGTTACTTACTGGATTAGCCAAGGCAGACCCATGAACAGAGGCAGCGATACTATACCACTATGGAAAAGTTCAAACCACCATGGAGCGAACTCCGGATCGTCCACGAGATTGGGCGGGTCATCAATACAAATCCTGTTGATCACGTCGCCAGAGAAGGCCGTGAAGGCATGATCCAGTCTCACTACTTTCCCAGTTCCCTTAAACCCTTCGAACCGTTCTATAATTAGCTTCTCGCAAAGCTCTGCCACCATGGGTTCTAGCTTTGTCACCCCAGCTCGAGAAAAATAGGGGTCGAGTGGCTTTCTCCTCTTGCGGTGGAGGTCATGTCCTATAGTCGCGAGATGAGATCCGTCAAAGTCGACAATACCATCAACGAAACCCTTATACCTTTCCGTTGGGCGGACGGAGCCCGCGACGTAGAGTTCATCGTAGTATTCTGGGTCCCGAATGGAGAGCTCATGTGGGTTAATCCTTACAATTGGTCCTACATAGTGTAAAAGTCGTGAGCTTCATTCCTCTACAACATGCGCACTGGTTCTTGTGCGGTGGAGCTATTGAAAATCACGAAAGTCATAGTACATACCATACTTGTCATGCATCTTCTCAATCTCAAACAGGTATTTCCCTTTCTTGACAACATCGTAGTACAACTCGTACCAACCCGTTACTGCGGCAAGCTTGGGACCCGGAAATTTTGCTATAGGAGAAAAGAAGAGGCGATATATGACTAGGCTGAGAATATAGAACACACTTATAACGAGGACAGCGACGGTAGCACGCAAACCGAGATTTTTGGGCAAGTATGCCTCCATTTGAGATAGACCGATGGGAGCCTTGGAGAAAAGAAGTCGGGAGACGCTTGGGTCAGGGGAAGGGGGGCCTCTCATGGTTCAACGAGGCCTGATGGATAAGTGAAATCACGACGCACAAGTGAGTTGCGGCACCAGACAAGATAAAAGTCTTGAATTCACATTTTATAAAGGGCTTGAACACAAGTCGCGCTATCTTACCGGAATACACTTCTTCAGGGACTTGCTCTTTCGCGGCCCCAAAAACGACCCAGTCGCTTATTGGGTGACATATCTCGGTAAATCGCCCAATATGGCTATTCTCTATTCGGCGCCTTGAGGAGTCTTACCAAGGTCCCCTCTTTGAGGGGCGGAAATTCGCCCGTTCCATCTTTCGACCTGTCTATTCGTTTCTTGGGGCTACGGGTTGTTAGCTCGCCTCTCGCTGTCCTGCATCGGGCCTTGCCCTTTAGGCACTTTACCAGAAGAAGAAGATCTGAGTCGAATGTCTTCATACGGCAAATGTAGTAGAAGTAGAAATGCGCCATTTAAGAGAAGCGGATCACTCCTAGAAGCGCCTGACTGTTCAAAAGCCAGCACTGTGGATGCTGAGATGTCCCGCAGAACGATTGCTCAAGCCGGAAATATCATTGTTATCCATCTCCTTTTGCTGAGCCTGTACGTGTTTATGTATTACAACTTGTCTCGTTTCTCTGCGACCTCAAAGCCTTAACACCTCTTTACCACGGAAACATTCTTCGCGTTTGCATATAAAATGGCCCACAAGTATTCGACAATCATCGACTCTTCCACCTACGACACGCAAGGTCTTTGTCCTGGAATAGATCTCAGGAGGCACGTGGCTGGCGACCTTGAAGAAGTCGGTGCGTTTAGGGCTCAGGAAGACTGGCGCCGCTTGGTTGGGCCCCTAGAGAAGCCTTATGCAGGCCTCTTGGGCCCAGACTTTAGCTTCATCACTGCCGCGGTGCCCGAATGTCTCCCAGACAGAATGGAGATTACCGCTTATGCGCTTGAATTTGGTTTCATGCATGACGGTATGGGTCAATTGCCTGTAGCTCTGTGGAGTATCCTGAATGAGGCTAATTGATTGCAGATGTCATCGATAAAGAGATCCACAACGCATCTTTGGATGAAATGGAGCATGCTTTGGAACAGGGCGGTCAGACCGGCAAGATCGACGAGAAAGCCGCTTCTGGAAAGCGTAAAATCGTCGCTCAGATTCTCCGCGAGATGATGGCAATTGACCCTGAGAGAGCAATGACTGTCGCCAAGAGCTGGGCTGCTGGCGTCCAACATTCCAGTAGACGGCAGGACGAAACGCACTTTAATACTCTTGAGGAGTACATCCCTTATAGGGCCCTCGACGTGGGATACATGTAAGCCTCCCGCACCCACCAATGACTTCAGCATCCTAGATTAAGCCCACCTAGCTGGGACTAATTGTGTTCTGCTATCAAGGCTCTGGCATGGTCTTGTCACGTTTGGCTGCGCTATTACCATCCCCGAGGAAGAGGCGGATGAGGCGAGGGAGCTTCTGAAGCCTGCTTTGATCACTGCCTCTCTCACTAATGATCTATTCTCATTCGAGAAGGAGCGCGGTGACGCCAATGTTCAAAACGCCATCTTGGTTGTCATGAGGGAGCACGGCTGTAGCGAAGAAGAAGCAAGAGAGATTTGTAAAGAGCGCATCCGCGTCGAATGTGCCAACTATGTCCGCGTGGTCAAGAACACCAGGGCACGGACGGATATCAGTGATGAACTTAAGAGATACATAGAGGTCATGCAGTACACACTTTCAGGAAACGCTGCCTGGAGTACTAATTGTCCGAGATACAACGGACCAACCAAATTCAATGAGTTGCAGTTGCTGAGAGCTGAGTATGGTCTGGAGAAATACCCGGCAATGTGGCCACCGAAGGATGCAACTAACGGCCTTCCTGTCGAAACCGAACGTAAGGAGCCTCTTGTCAACGGTAATGGGCATTATGCATCAACCAAGGCCAACGGCCTCAAGAGGAAGAGGAACGGTAACGGTACGGGTGACGACACAAAGAAGAATGGCATTAAATGTGTCAAGAAGTCGGCACAGATATCGCAACTGAGCACGGATTCATTTGCTCTTGCGGATGTGGTGTCTTTGGCCGTTGATCTGAATTTACCAGAGCTGAGCGATGATGTGAGTTGGGCGTCTTCCCTACGCTGATTCCCCTCAAATAGAGATATGACATATCCTCGGAGGTGTAACTGACGGTAATTATTAGGTTGTTCTCCAACCATATCGATACCTCACCTCCCTTCCTTCTAAGGGTTTCCGTGACCAGGCCATAGACTCCCTCAACACATGGCTTAAAGTGCCCCAGAAGTCGGCTAAAATGATCAAGAGCATCGTCAAGATGCTGCATAGCGCATCTCTCATGTTAGTCTTCTTCTACTCATTCAGGCCCAATTACCTTGCTACCCACCTTTTTTTTTCTCACTCTTCCATCCTGCCATGTCTCATTCAAACCGTCTAACGATGCTCAGGCTTGATGACATCGAAGACGACTCACCACTTCGTCGTGGTAGGCCCTCTACTCACAACATCTATGGCACCGCCCAGACAATCAACAGCGCGACATACCAATATGTCAAAGCGACAGGTATGGCTACCGAGCTCGGCAACCCGTCATGCCTTCGCATCTTCATCGAAGAGATGCAACAGCTGCATGTGGGGCAGAGCTATGACCTCTACTGGACGCACAATACACTATGCCCGTCCGTATCAGAGTATCTGAAAATGGTTGATATGAAGACGGGTGGCCTATTCCGCATGCTGACACGATTAATGGTCGCCGAAAGCCCGGTCCGCGAGAAGGTGTCAGACGACGCTCTGAACCTGTTGAGTTGCCTCGTGGGGCGCTTCTTCCAGATCCGCGACGACTACCAGAACCTCGCTTCCGCCGACTACGCTAAGCAGAAGGGCTTTGCCGAGGACCTCGATGAAGGGAAGCTCTCCTTCACGCTGATCCACTGCATCCGAACTGTTGAGTCAGAGCCCAAGTTTGCGGGCGATGCAATGCAGCTGCGGGCATCCCTCATGAAGAGAAGGCTAGACGGAAAGCTCAGCATTGAGGCCAAGCGAGAGGTGTTGGCAACTATGAAAAAGACAAAAAGTCTGGATTACACGCTCGACGTTCTCAGGGAACTGCATGGCGAGTTGGAAAGGGAGGTTGGAATCTTAGAAGCAAAGTTCGGTGAAGAGAACTTTTCATTGAGGTTGATGCTAGAGATGCTGAAAGTGTAGGATAGCTGCTGGACGGACTATGGTTAGACCTGTGACCTGTGTTTCTCGTGCAGGGACCATGGTCACTGGAGCTCATAGACTGGTAGGGGATAGCACGGTAGATAGAATTCTGATACCACTGATACCACTGAGATCATTGTGCTTCGTATCGCTTTACCGCCCTAGTCAGTTGTCACGAGGCCAATCCTAGTAGTAGAGAGCCTGCCAACAATTCCGCTCCGTACATGTGAGTTGCACAGTGAGCGCCGCTGCCCTCATAGCTATTGCTGCAGGATTGGCTGGTTGTTAATAATCTCCCGTTGCTGAGAATGCTACGCTCGGTCCGGTATACTTGGCATATATTGGTGACACCACGGGCCATCTGTAACCTGAAGCTTAGCAACGATTGCGGAATTCTATTGCTAGCTATGCACCTCCGTGTTCAGCGTGTCGTCCCCTCGGATACTGCGCCACCACTCGCTTTGCCGTACAAGCTCTCCATCTTCACCACCTAGCAAAGTCCAATATTTCTTCAAAAACCACACCCTTGCCTCCCAACTACGGACGTCCCAGGGCGTACCTGTCGAAGCATATCCAGTGGAGTCTTCTCGATCCTTCCTTCCAATGCCTGCACCTCCCCAACACACTAAGCCGGTAAGGATATCAAGGAAGAACTCATCCTCGTCAATCTCTTCCTGATGGGTGATGAGATTTTTTCGTAGTGTCGGAAAGGGTAGAATATCTATGTATGGGTGATGCTGGATAGTAATTTGCTCGCTACTCGGCCTCAAGTCAGGCTTCAGTGTTTTGAAGATTCTCTGTACTGTGCCAATCGTATTTGCTTTGATCATATCATCTGTCGACTCCGTGATAGACCGGAAGAACGGTGAGAAAGATTCGTCAGCACAGATCATCTCCTCGGTGATGCCAACATGCATTCCAAGAGCATATAATGCAGTTATAGTGCAGACTTTTTCAATGCGAAGGTTGTTGGCATACGGATCTGCTGCTGTGGCACTCGGTTTAAATTTGAGTACCCTGACCTCGCCATAGCGAAATGGATCTGAACCGTGTGTCTGTATCTGGAAGTGTGGACTGGGGCAGCCGCAATCGATGGTGGTGGTCCAATATGGACCAAGACTGTCGTTTTGTTTATCAAGAATGAGATGGGAAGGATCAACATGTGTTGGAGAATCCCATAAACTCGGTGCGGATGACATGTCATCGGACAGTAGAAAATGTGGTGTAGAATCCCAGATGGTCAGTGAGGATAGGGTGTCATCTGAATGTGGAATAAATCGTTGATATTCTCCTAGAGTGACTGTAGATAAACTGGAAACAGATATGTCCGAAGCATCATAAGATGGGGGAGTCTTTGGAAGTATATGGGTTGGAGTGCTGGATGAGCCATGTGTTGTGACCGCCTCAGATTGGCCTGTGCCCGCAGTCGATGTTCGTTCAATAGCATCGCTCTGTGCTGCAGATGCAGCAAGTGCTTCAAGATAAGCCAGACGCTCACGAAGCTTCTCTCCTAGTGGATGAATAGTCAGTATTTATTTCTCCAGAGATTCCTGTGCCTATGGTCTGGGGGTTGCTGACATGAGAGAAGAGTTGCACTCACGGTACTTTCTTTGTGCTCGAATGTTCTGTTGCCGCCTCTTCTCCGGGTCACGGCGGACAGGTTTCCGTTTCTCCTTTCCTACGCTTTCACTCTGTTGTCTGATCTCTCGAGTTTGTAATGGCATCGTGTAGCCACAGATGCGATTCTGATGGACAAGGTGTGGTGCCAAATGCCTGTGACAAAGTCTGGAGAAGTGGTGGGGACGAGTGGAGTGGCTGTGATGTGATCACAACTACGGAGCATAGCGGACCGCTCGGAGTACGGAGCAGCGCTCATATGTAATAACTACGGAGTAACTAGTTAACAGTTAGTTAGTTAGCTAACTAGTTAACAGGACACAGGTCACCCGGACCAGGTCACATAAAATATATACCTGAAACTGCACTAGATGTTCTAGATAGGATTGAAATATGAAGTCCAAGTCATATTTACGGTTGTTTATTTGTGCTGTCTTTCTAAATCGCAGATTTGACAGAGTCATGGCCCGAGCAAGCAAGTTCAATCTATCGATCCTGGACGAAAAGCTCATGGACCTGCAAGCATTTGCGGCACCACTATTTCCTCCACGTACTTCCAGAGTAAACTACTATCTTCCCCCCTGAATGCCGCGCCAGTCCAGTACGTATTTCTTGGGCCTTGCAACGCATACAGCTTCTCATAAAATCCGACCTTAATATCCTCAGCACTGACTTGAAGAGTATACGGGGCATGCGATCTAAAATCAACAAATTCAGGATCTGTTTGGCCAAACTTGTCCGGATTTTGCTTCTGAAGTCTCTTGACGGTCCTTATTATGTCCGCCTTCACCATCGCGTTAGACAGAGGAAAGGATTTAGGACTCTGCGGAGTGGCGTAGGTGACCATTTGCAATCCGGGAAGTCTAGATGGGGCGAAGCTGTACACTCCCGGGAGAGGAGGCAAGTTGTACTCCGAATCCTGGGCAGCATTCGAGATGCTGGCGTCCTCGGGGAGGCCCGTGTTCTTTAAGATGCCGACATAGCGCGTCAGTATACTTTCCAAAGACTCTCTTTTCTTTGTCGCTAACGTCCATCGGGGCTAGGAAGTCAAGCTTTGGGGTTATGGCAATGAGGAGCTTCTTCGCGAGAATAAGCTTGTAGCCTTGGGGTGTATGAACAACGAGTTTGACACCTGCCCCTCCTTCGCCTCGATCCGCATACGCGACCTTGGAATCAAGGAGAAGACTTGAGGACGAAGACAACTCTATTCCGGCTCTGGAGTACAGCTCGCTGCTGTTTTGCCGGGCTGTAGTCAGAAAGCCAGCCGATAAGGACCGCACCGTATTCAATCCGCAGTATCGGAATTGTTCAAGCGTTGGATTCGCCAGTATATTTCCGACACCCGGATTGTAGTTGAACATGGTGGGAACCGCCGCTTGAAGTCCATATTTCTGTACAAACTCACCAAAAGGCATATACAACTCCTCGGGCACAGGGCTTGGAAGGAATATCCCATCGTTCAACCGGGGTATTTGGAATTCTGTGTCGTATTGGCTGCGAAGGCTGCGGATACCTCCGCTTCCGATGGAGTTGTGACTTCTTTTCCGGTACGAAAATCATAGTTTAACGCAGGTTGAAAGAAACCGGCAGAATTAGTGATTGGGATATCGAATCGTTTAAAGTAGTCCTTTACAACTGTAATGTTGTGCCAGATCAGGACCCCCATATCAATTGTGGTGCCGGTCGCAGGATCAATATATGTCTCGGTGTGGCCCACCTGACCCGTTTTGTTTTTCAATAACAATGATGGATTTGCCTTCATCCTTCAGACTAATGGCTGCATATGTGCCTGCAGAGCCGCCACCGATAACAGCCACATCCCGTATGACAATGTGAAGTTCTTTAGATCAAATGTCGAAGGCCTAGCTGAAGCAACAACAGTCGACATCAGGAGACAGTCTGAAAGCGAGATGAAGGAGAATGTGACGGAATGCATTGTGAAGTGGGTATGATCAGGAGTAGGGTGAGTATGAGACTGAAGGTGGATTGATGTTGTATAACATCAGAGCGGAAATCCATTGCAGTTTAGAGGCCATGGATGAAAGGAAAGTAACGATAGAACAGGTCAAATTTCCTTTGCTTGGGGTAGCTTGTTTTGATTCTAATGGGGAATGGCCGGATTAGGCAAATTACCGACCATATACCAATTCATGCCAGCTTCAAAAAGGCAAACCCCGAAAGTAGCAGATCCCAACTGAGCCTTAACCACAGGGCATGTCACACCTAATAGCTTTCCCGAAAAGAGATATGCAAGCAGGTACCAAAGATAACACCCTCTGAGCAATCTCCAAAAAGCAGAACAAAGTCAAACCTCAGGGTAACAACAGAAAAAGAAACATTCGTCTATTGGGTACAGGAAAACATGTAGGAAGTTTGGGGAGAAGCCTTCTTGTATTTCTCCGTCCTGAATGCTTAAGAGGAACTAGGCCCAATGTAAGAACTTATTCTGTTGTCGTAAAGTCCTGGCAAGTTGAGCCAGCAAGGTATACTCAAGATAATCAATATTATTAAACACGAAGAATCGTGTCAGACACTAGTTGGTCTTGGCGGCCACTGGTTTCTTTGCCTTCGGGACACGCACCCACCAGTACAGCGCACACGCCGCAAAGATATTGAAAATGATGTACACCCACATAATGCCGAAGTTGCGCCACACATCTGAGTAGTTGGCTGAGACAGAACTAAGGAAAACATTTGTGTCGCTGATGGGACAGAAATTGCAGTTTGAGGTCGCAAGTTCGTTTTCGATGTAGCCGCCCATAGTGGCCTTGTACGCTTCCATGTACTCGCCGCAGGTCCCGTTCAGCGGGTCGAAGCGCAGGTACTCGTTTGGCGCGCATGTGACTTCTGTGTTGGAGATGCCGACGGACAGCATACCACTGACGAGGTACGTGAATGGTGAGACGCGGTACATAAAGATCCAGAAACCTGGGAGCTGGTTGGGCGTAGCGAGGACACCGCAGAACAGGAGACAGAGCATGAAGAGCAAGTTACCCGTGTTACCGGCGTTCTCGGCAGTTTCGAAAGCCGCGATCATAAAGTGTGCAAAGGTGGATGAAAAAAGAAGGAAGGTCCAGATGAAGAGCCACATTTGCACGCCACGTAGCGTGACGGAGTCAGTAGGTTCGGCATTGTGGTTCAGACCGATGGGGTAGTACCAGCAAATAAACATGAGGACGGACATGAGCGAGTTCCAAGGGAGTTCAACGACAATGTTAGATATCATGAAAGCTTTCCAACAGTAAGTTTTAGATAGACGTTCGCGGGCCTCGTACAAAGCGCGCTGGGCAACAAAATGTGGCATGATTTGCTGGATGAGTTGACCGAAAAGAGTCAACAACATGAAGATAGCGAACATCTGGTTCTGAAGTCCCTGGATCGTGTTGGGAGTATTAAACAGAGAGAAACCGATAAAGAGAGACGAACTAACGCATAGTGCGGTCTTGGAGTAGATGTACGTGGGTGAGCGCCAAATTTGCTGGAACACTCGGGTCTGGACTTCACAGAGCTGTGCACCGAATGGAGCGGCGAATTCGCGGTAGCTAGCCTTGTCCTCGCGCTTCTGGTCCGAGAGAGTGCGGGCAAGGCCGACCTGTTGGGAACTTTCAAGTTTCAGTTTGGCGAGGTGTTCCTGGACACGTCTATACTCGGGGGAGTTGCGCCATGTGTCGTACCAGTCGATGTCAGTGTGGGATCCAGGAGCAGCACCGATAACGTCGAGCATCCATTCAGCGGGGTTAGCAGCAGGAGGGCACGGGGGTCCACCATTGCGGACGAAGTAGTCAATAAGGATTTGAGAGTTCTCGCCAATATCTCCGTAGTACACGGTGCGTCCACCGGCCTGGAGGAAGAGGAGACGATCGAAGCGCTGGAACAGGATGGCGGAGGGTTGATGAATGGTGCAAAGAATAGCCTGGCCGTTCTTCTTCAATTTGTCAAGGAGATCAAGGATAGCCCACGATGTCTGAGAATCAAGTCCAGATGTAGGTTCATCCAAGAAGAGAAGTAGAGCTGGCCTGGCGGCAAGCTCCACACCGATTGTGAGGCGTTTGCGTTGCTCGACATTGAGACCGTCACCAGGCACACCAATGATAGCATCGGCATACTCAGTCATTTCTAGAAGCTTGATGACCTCTGTAACATAGTCAATCTTCTCTTGACGAGGGACGTGAGCAGGCTGGCGTAGAAGAGCAGAGAAGGTAAGGGCCTCGCGAACCGTGGAGGTGTTCAAATGCAGATCTTGTTGTTGAGCATAGCCAGTCTTGCGCTGGAAGGATTCATCACGAGGTTTGCCATCAACAAGTATCTCTCCCGTGATAACACCCATGGTGGTACGAGTAGCCAAAACATCTAATAGTGTGGTCTTCCCAGCACCAGAAACACCCATAAGCGCGGTCAAAGTACCTGGTTTGACCCATCCATCAACATGATCAAGAATCCTGCGATGCTCCTTTCCGATCTTGATATCGTAGCAAACATCTTTCCATTGGAAGATAGCAGTCTGGCGTTCGATTATGGCAATGTCATCTGATTGGGACTTCTCCACAACAACACTGCGGCCACTACCGCTTTCGACATCATCCTCTGACTTGCTCTTCTTCAGGGCCTTGTGTCCGCGACGGAACACGAGGATCTCGCCCTTTGGCTTCTTCTCGGTGACTAACTCAGTAGCAAACAGATAGACAATCATGAGGATGAACATGAAGGCAAATATAATGCCAACGTTCCTCCACTTGTGCGAGGCGGTATAGCCATAAGATGACTCAATGTAACTGTCGCCATTGACATAGGGCTGTCCAGGCACTGATCCGACTGTGGAGCAAACATGGTTGTTAGGTCCAATACCCGCGTAGCCAGGGCCCGACGGGACGTAGTTGACACAGGCGAAGTCACGGTTGTGGAACTCATTGATCATTAGAGACTCAAAACCATAGCTGATAGGATTGATATAGGCAATCCAACGGGCCCATCCAAGCATGTACTGCGTCGGAATGGTGAAACCAGTGTACATACTGAGACCCAGAATTAGAATCGCGGCAGGGACGAGCGCTTGAACAAGGGTTCTTGTCAGCGATGCAATGGACCGGAAGAACATGGACATGGTTAGAGTCAGAATGAATGAGGTGAATACAAAAAAGAAGAAAGCACCAGGTTCTCGTCTTAGATTTGTCATGAAATAGAGAACCAAATTGTAAGTGATGGCGTTGAGAGTTTTGTAGGGCAAATCCATGAGCATAGATGCAAATGCTTCAGCAGACGGGTGGTAGAGGGCATATCGAGAGTGTTTCTCCACAATCCCTCGTTGAGCATAAAGAGTGAGCATTTCAAGGCCGGAACCAAAAGCATTCATGAGAACAGCAAAGAAGAGGAGAGCACTACGCTGGAAGAAGCTGTTGGTATCGGCCTTGAGGTCGTAAAAGATACTGGCGATGACGAGAGCCATGATGGAATTTCCAACTAATGAAGAAATAGTGATACTGGGATCACCTTTTAATCGTTTGAAACCGCGCCATAAGCACAATTTCACCTGTTGTACGTATGAAAGAATGTAGGGTGACGACACACGCTGGGCCTTGGCTTGTTGAGCTCTCCGGGATTGCTTGAACTTGTCCAGATATTCACCACCGAGTGCAAACTTTGCGTTGTACGCCTCAATGTCTTTCACAAGCTGTGCTCGCTCTGCTGAGGCTTTCCATCGTGCGGCGAACTCATCAGGCGTCCGGGGCACGCGGGCTTCGTAGCCTGGCTGCACGACACGCTCGAGGTGGCTAGTCATGGAAGTGAGGAAATCGGCATCGGTTTGTCGGTCAGGGCAGGCAAAACCCATGTCAAGGAAATACTGCTTAGCCGTGGTTGTGCGGCCAAAGTAGATCTGGCGACCTTCGTATAGAACCAGGACCTTGTCGAAGCTGTCGTAGGCAGCCTGAGGAGCTTGATAAAGGGAAACGCAGGCCGTGGTGTCGTTGATGTCAGTCTGCATGCGAAGAGTCTTACAGAACTCGATGGCATTGGCACTGTCGAGACCACGAGTGGAGTTGTCCCAACATTGCAGCGGCGCCATGCTGAGGCAAGCTTCAGCAATACTGACACGTTTGCGCTCTCCACCGGATACACCGCGGACGAAATCGTTTCCTACGATAGTGTTCTTGGTGTGGCTGATACCGAAAATGGCCATGATGACATCCCGCATGTGCGTGGCGTACTGGTTCACAGTTGCTCCTCCAGGAATGTGGCGTGGTGCTCGGGCCCGCGCAGCAAAGAAGAGAGTATCTCCAACCGTGAGCTTGGGGAAGTGGACGTCGACCTCAGCGGTGTAGATGGCTTCCCCCCTAAACTCGTTGGCCATTTGCTTTGCGCTCACACCTGATGACCATTAGCAGGAAGGCTTCCTATGAATGATGTCGGACGTACCTTGGTAATTGATGTTTGAGGTCTTGTCGACAATAAGGCCGTATGTCTCTCCAGCGATGGTCTTCAAGAATGTCGAGCATCCCGATCCAGGTGGTCCAAGCACTGCAAGCATTTCTCCAGCTTCAACCAATCCATCCAAGCTCTGTAGAATTTTGATTTTGCGCTGACGTTGACCTATGAACGTTCTCGCCAGGCTGAGAATCTCTAACCAGACGTTGCCTACGCTCTTCTGATAATCGGCATCGGAACTGAAACCGTGCACGTTCAAGTTGCTGAAGGCTACGCCCAGTGTCCGGAGTGGATGTGCTTGGTTGTCCTCGGTGTGCATCCGCAGCATGGCCTTGCACCAAGCCCGGGCATTGAAGTTATCCCCATTGGGGTCGAGGGCCGATCCAGGATCCGCAGCAAAGGGGTTCTGCACAGTCGTTGAATAAGTGCTCTGCTCTGTGAACCGCCTGGCCAGCTGATGAACCTCCTCTTCCCTCGTCTCCACGCTGGAAACGCCGTCCTTCGCACTTTCGGCACCGCGGTTGTCATTAGCCCCGAAATTGCCCACCAAGCTCATCTCTGCGGGTGTCCTGGTTCGACGGCGCGAATAAACATCAATTGAACGTATTAACTATACTAAAAAGAAAAAAAAGAAGGACTGAAGGTGGAAGGGTGGAATACGGTTGTCGGGTTGGGCGTCAACTGCCAGGAGCAGAAGATTCTCCAGGGCAGCATCATTAGATGAAGCAGCACACTGTTGAGCGCGCGCCCCGGGCTTCTTCGCTCTCGGTTTTGAACCGAACACATGGCTAACGTGATCCATACCAACAAGGCCTGGACGTGTTTCGCGACCAATTTTGGTCTGCGTCATTCAGGCAATGGCTCACATCAGCCAGATCGATGTATCGTGTCAGCCAGATCAGTTTTCGGGCCTTGGCCCAACCTAGTTTAGAGGAACCCACGCGGGTTTGTGCCGTTTTGGGCCAGAAACCGACTTATACCTGTCCAGTGGTCTGGTCTTTCCCCCCCAGCCCATGTTGCATTGGTTCGACTTAGGCTTGCTTCGTCTGTCCTGCGCAGTTTGAGCTTTCATCAGCTTCACAGAAGGGCTTGGCATTAATTGGAACATCAGCTATCTGCCTGCGGTCATCGTATGCGTAGGCCCTTCCGGTACCATCAGGGCCTTTTAAGTAAATTATTCGTCTGTATCCAAAACCCAATCCTTGTTTACGGACCGTGCTGTCCAGTCTTCTCCCGTCGGAGCTCAACCAACGTATGAATCACACACGAGAAAGCACTCGGAGTACTTGACGCGGTTCCACCACCTCATTCCGGTTGCTGAAGCTTATCTCACGTCCCCAAGGCACAGCTGGGCTATCGGATAGTTAATCATTTACCAACGGTAACGGCCTCCCCTGCTTTTGCAGTTCCTCTTCTTGGACCAAGTGTTCTTCGCAATAAGGAAACCCAGATCTCATAAAGGTCCTACATCCGATAATTCCGTATCCAGTCTCCGCGAAGCAGCGATGGTGAACCTCCAAGCTATCCAAGCCCACAATGCGGCTCTCAAATCTCTAGCCCCAGGTCTCGTCGCGGTGTTTGGTAAGTTCAACGTGCTCCAACGTTTCACTCTTTACGATACTCCCGCCGAAAATATTCTTGCTCTTGAAGCAGAATGCCCGCGCTGCAAAGGCTCTCCTTTACCCTATCTCATCTCTTGTAAGCCTTTTCAATTCACTAATACCCCCCAGTCGGCGGCACCTCCGGCATCTCCCTCTCCACAGCCCTCGCCTTCGCTCGTCACACGCTCTCCCCCAAAATCTACCTCATCGGCCGCAACCAGTCCGCCGCCGACACCGCCATTGCCTCCATGAAAAGCATAAACTCCTCCGCCCAGCCGACCTTTCTCCAAACCGACATATCCCTGCTTAAGAACGTCGATAGCGTGTGCGCCGAGATCGCAGCTAAAGAGAAAAAGCTAAACCTGCTATTCATGACGCCGGGATACATGACGCTGAAAGGCCGGGACGAGACGGCCGAAGGCCTGGACCGCAAATTCGTGCTGCATTACTACGCGCGGATGCGATTCATTGTCAACTTGCTTCCCCTCTTAACCGTGGCCGCGCAAGACTCCTCTGTCAAGGCCAATGCTAGACTATCCCGCGTAGTCTCCGTACTAGACCCGCACGTCTCCGTCCGCGCCGGCGGCTCCGGTAAGCTCAACTTCTCCGACCTCAGTCTGAAGCACACGTTCAGCCTCAAAAATTGCGGCGCGCATGCCAGCCTGATGGGTGATTTTTTCCTGGAGGGCATGGCGCAGCGACACCCGCATACCTCGTTCGTCCACGCGTACCCTTCCGGTGTGGCCACGGGCCTGATGCGTGAAATGCCGGCTGGGGGCGTGCTGGCTGCTGTGCTGACACCGCTATTGAGTGCATTTATGGTGCCGATTGACGAGAGTGGGGAGAGGCATTTGTTTGCTGCGACGAGTGAGAGGTTTCCTCCCAAAGCTGAGGGTGAGGGGATGGAAGGGGATGTCGCGGTTGGCAGCGATAGTACGAAGGGGAGTGGTTGTTACTGGGTGAGTTGGGACGGAGAGGTGTTCCCAGCGAACAAGAAATTGGGGAAGACGAGGGAGGAGGGCGCGGTGGAGAAAGTGCTGCAGCACACGGAAGAGGTGTTTAAGCGGGTGTGTGAGGAGGGCAAGACATACCCGTGAAATGTCATCGGGGGATAAGGGCTCGGTCTAGGCTTGAGAGTGGCGAAGGGCCACAAGGAAAAATTGGAAAGGGGCCTGAACTGCTTTTGCCGCTGGTTGAACATGTTCTTTGTGTCCCTCTTGAGGGCAACAGAATGGTCAAGTTCTGGCTTGGTTAGTTCGCAACCGCTGTCTCTTCCTTCTATATAGAACTTGCAGCCTGAACCCAAGCATGATGTTCATTCCAGTACTTGTCCAGGCTTACATGCAGTTCTTGAGCAGGCTAGGCATGTATATGCAGTAGATCAGATACCGATAGAGATGCCAGTCATTGCACCAGAGCTGCTGGGGGATGATTTTGAAATGGACCAGTGTCAAGTACTTCACTTTATGCCGCCCACAATTAATTAGCACACACTTGTGCAGTTCCTCCTAGATAAATTAGAGAGGAAAAAGCAGGCCAATCATGGGTGTTCTCTTCTGTTCTGATATCTAAAGGAAAATAGCCACATAAGTTGGTCATAGTAATGAAATGCTTTTTATCAGTGTGGCTGTTCCACTCAGCTGTGAGATCTTTTCATTGTTGGTGAATGTATGTGTCCTTGGGCTTCTTTTGCACATGTCTCTTAGAGCAGTTTGTATGATGAAATGCTTTTTGGTCTGTTTGTGGTGGATATCATGCTCAGCATACGTGCTATAATACCTACAGGAACCTCCAAGATTGTCAGCCTGCAGACAACAAGATATCAAAGGCCTAGGGTTCATGGGAACTACTCCTCTCAGAGCTTCCAGCTACTTCTGTAATTTCTCTTAGTGCTATCTTCCAGTGTCCTAAGCACCTACTTGCCACTTAGCTTTAATTTGTTGAAGTCAAAGCCGAAGGCATGTAGTTTCTGTACCACTCTTCAGGAGCGATCTTCTTAGACATAATGGAATTCTGCAAGAACAAAAAAGGGGGAAAAAAGCAAGCCTGTCAACATGACTGTAGGGCAAGCCTGGATAAAGGAAAAGAAAAAAGTAGCAGCTGCCTGGGGACCGGGCAGGCCCCCCTGCTAGAGTAGAGATGTTGAGTTGACAGAGCCCATTGCGTAGACCTAGTACAGTGATTGGAGTAAAGGGCGACTTGGTGGAGAACAAGAGTTGAGGGCAAGACGAGGAAGGGTGAAGATAAAGCGGCGTGTGTGGCGCGCTAATCTGGAAGAAGATGATCCAGGTCGTCATGCGATGGTTACACACCTCAATTCTTTTGACCTTCACCTTGACTATCTTCAAATCCACCACGATCGCGGATTGTCCCAATCCTCAGCCCATCGGTGCCACTAAGGAAAAACAAGAAGACATGCCATTAACCTCTCTGCCGCTCGAACTCCTTGAAAACATCTCCCAATTAACCTGAGCTCCCTTAGAGGAAGCGAGGTGAGTCATTAACAACAGCAGATCGCTAGCAGACATGTTGTGATAAGTGTGAAGATGATGCTCGGAGGGAGACTGCCGGATCTCCTAAAATAACCGAGAAAGTACTTCTGCTGACTAATAGTTAACTTACTCCGTGCATGACATCAAAAAAGTGCAATCTCAGCAGTTTGATAGATTTGTTGATTTTGTTTCTGTTTCTTTTAATCTCTCGCTGGCAATTTGTAATTCCCTAGAAGCTCATCACACAGATGTTGTAAGGATTGCTTTTCCCCAGTTCAGTGTGGCAATGTGCCTTTGATTATAAGTGAGGACTTAAAGAGAAAATTTGTATTCTTCTATCTCGCAACATTCTCCTCTGTTTGACAAGTTATCGATTTGAATCGCTAAGAGAAACCAGCGACAACTTGTTGAATAGTTACCTAGCATTGTGCGTGGAGACGGCTTCAGCGAGAAGAGCGCCGGATCCGGCCACAAGATGGATCGGATTTAGCCTCCTACTCACCAGATAACCGTAAAATGCTGAACTCTCTAATTGAAGGGATGTAGTATTTGAGACCGATGTAGTTATATTTGGATTGCTCTTGCAGGAATTTACTCCATACAAAGCTCATATACTCCGAACTTCACTGCTGAAGAGAGCTAGCCCATGGATTCCCGTGCAGAGGCGGAAGACCGAAATGGAAAGGGATATGATATAAAAAAGAATTGGGCTTGGGTAATTAATATACTCCCGGACCCAAGCCCAATGCTTTTTTCTCCCTCTTATGGTAGTTTGCGTCCAAGATTGCAATCAGGGCATCACAAAAGTATCCTATTCTATTTAATTAGCCTCCCCTTTTATTTTCCCAACTGACCCCGACCCCGACCCATCATATCATTTTTTTTACTTCCCCCATAGTATATACATGTTCCCGCAAAAGAAGTGTACAATAAATCCATAATAGCTAATATCATACAATTGAGAAGAATGTTTCCCGCATGTAATGGCAGCATCCACCAAACTACCAATACCAGAGGGTAGTCATGGGGCATGAAGACCCCTCTGTTATTCCTAAATGTGACGGAAAAAAGAAGCCACAGTAACCCAACAGGCCGGCCATCTTACCAAAGGAAACACCACGGCATGAAGAGCCTTCATCCAAGCAGGAATTGGAGTAGGAGTAGGGCCCTCTCTAGGGAAAAATATAAATTAACCCCCTTATCTCCAGGTCTTCATCCGTGCAAGATCGGTCTTGAACGCATTCCCCTGATTCCTCTCCATATCGTTGAACCGGTCCATCTCAGCCCTTCCCTGCGGGTCATCAGTGTACCGATCCACATCTTCCAGGTCGTCGAGCCGGACGGATCGATCTCGACGTCTACCGCGTCCTCCTAGCCTCTCTATTCTCGACTTCGCTCCCCCGTAGCCCTTGCTTCGACGGCCCATGATGCTACCCAGCCCGATACGACGGTGTTTGCGCATACCGATGCACAGGCCGCAGGCGATGAAGAAGACGACAACCAGGGCGACGGGCAGGCCGACCATCAGGCCCAGCTTATTGGGCTTGGACGGCGGAGGCGGCGGGTAGTGCTGGACCGGCTTCTTGGTCAAGGAGAATGTGGGTCCGATCTTCACGGTGCGGTGCTCTTCGTTGTTCGCGACGAAGTTGATAAGGTGCAGGGTCAGGTTGTTGCGCGGCTTGTCTCGGAGCCAGGACTTGTCCATCTTGATATCTACGAAGCCGATCTTGTTGGGTCTGGGCTCGGAGGTGTAGGCCAGTTTGCTCTCGCTTTCCGAGACGTTTACGAATTCGAGGGTGATGATGACGGTGGAATTGATTCCGAATGCATCGACGTCCCATGTTACTGTGGTTTTAACCCCCCCAATATCGAGTCAGCACTGCTCAAAGAAAGCACAGTTATTATCTTTGTTTGGCATTACCTGGATGTGGAACATCGTCAACATAGAGCTCCTGGCCGACATGCGGCTTGCAGAACGGGTAGCCTGGGCTGCCTTCGTCGGCATGGCATGCCTCCACGTCGCTATCCGTGGGCTCTGGAGGAGAAGCGTCCTGCGTGGGGGGTGGTACCGTAGCGGTTGAGGTCTCTACTGCCTCTGAAGTGAGCGCAGACACGGAGGCATCAGCGGTGGCCGTAGTAGATGGTAATTCGGTCGTAGCAGACACTTAAAGTCGGTCGAAGGAGGCAGTAGTATCGTTAGCAACATCATTCCGTTTTGAGCAACATTGGAAGCTCTAGGATGGTCTCACATCCGACTGAATCCTGTCGTTTCAATACTTCTCCAGCGGCACTGGCGTATCCGCTCAGCGCGGCGGACAACGTCCAGAAAAGGGTATACCGTGACAAGAGCATGGCTGGCCTGAAATTCTTGCTCCCGTAATGTATCAGGACGGGGCAATCTCGAGGGGATCACACCACGCCGTTGACTAGTTATTCTTCAGCGGGAATGGAGTGGATGTCAATTCGAGCACAGCACGTCCTCCTGCCGGCTCCGGGGCTCAAAAGCGCTCTCACACACTCACACACACACACACATACAGGCGCGGTGAGAGGAACATTCCAAGCAACTCTCCAAACTAAGCCAAGCAGCGATCACGTAACGGACACTCCGGCAGGCAATTACAACTACTTTCCCGAAGAGGAATGGGCTAAGGCTGGCTGGATGGTGACGGCACACTGTGATTGGCCAATGCTGGAGAATTCGGCCGGTCGGCAATACATACATACGGCGTCATTTCGCGGATTTCCCTGTTTTTGCAGGCTGTTTCCTGCCCTGGATTGCGGGGGCGTCCGTGTGTATACGTATGTATGTAACTAGGGCATTACGCCGGGGTAAACAGTTTATTTAATCCATGCATGGAAAATAATAAACTGGTTAGTGGTCTTTTTAAGGGGAGGGAAAAGAAAACCATCTTCAAGGCTCGGTGATCTTCACGGGAACACTCAGGGCATGAGGAGTATCCGTAAGCTACCAGCATATGTACGTACGATGCACGCTGTATGTATGTATGTCCGTTCCGAAGGGCCCGAACGCGCGGTAGTGAAGACTGCGCATCCGGACCCAAGCTTATCCTCTGAGAAAACAGGCCTTAGAATGACCTTCTTGCCCTCCAATCCAAAACACAGAGATACCAGCTCCAGTATATATGTGGTCCAACAGTCAGACATCTAGCCCCGAAATTCGCAATCTCCGTCTTTATGAATTTTGGTTTCATCCATTCTCAACTTCTGAGTTCGGGCGGCGTACCTAACATCCTCTGGGGAAACTGTCTTACAGTCTACGAAGTACCATTATTTGACCAATGTATATTGAGGCTTAAAAAAAAAAAAAAAAAAAAAAAAAAAGAAGGCGTAGATTACTCGAGAATGAGAAGCTAACATACCCGCAGGATACTTTGTTTGTGGTATCCGATGAATTAATACCTCTAACCCAGAGACTTCTCTGCAGTTGTAGGCCTCGATATCTACACGGACTGGAACTGCATTGTAGTAAAGGTTAAATCCCGCCCTTCCCCCATCAAGCACCTCCACCTTGATCTGAATGCCCTTTCAAGCTCCATTTAAAGAGTTTACTGTCGATGCATTCCTTGAGACCAGTGCTGTTTCCTTCGTTGCGGCAAAGGAAAAGTTAATGTCGTACGATCTGTGATGGTCAGTTTGATCTTATATAAGTTGTGGAGCTCATTTGTTATTTTTCAGAGTACTTGCGTCGAGATACACATGGAACCCAAATGAGGGTCTGAAAAGATGCCCCTCTTCATCAACTGCCTGAGACTTAGAACCTTGTAAATGGTTTGGTGAGGTCAAAATTATAAAATGAAATATTAAGCTGCCTTATAACATGATGTAATTCCAGAAGAAAATCATCCTGGGAGAGCTGGGTGAAACCAGCAAAAGTTTCTTCGGAAGCACTGTACCCTGTAAGGTACCTGACCCTTTCAAACCAGCCATGGTTATTTGGAAGGATTGAAGAGCAAACAGAGCAAAACAGTGACGGAGCTGAAGGCTAGCCAATTAACCAGTTAAGTAAGTTTTGGCTGCGGGGGGGAGAGAGAGAGACAGAGACATGAGACACGCTGGCCCGGGTTGGCTGGGCTGGTTGGGTTTGCCATTTTGCTGGTTGGCGGGTGGGCGGAGCGGCAGGCGGCTGTGGCTCGTCCCCCAGCAACGTTCCAGAAATCGGGCAAAAAAGTCTGTCTGCACCTTTTTTGTTGACATTGAACTATGTAAGGAGTACTCTGTAGGTTTTGGGAGAATTTTCTCTTTTTTTTTTTAACTCTAGGCACATCCGGCGTTGACAGGCTGTCACGGCCAGCGTGAATCGCTTGATGAGTTATGAGTGGCCTGCTCCTCCTCATTGGCTCTCCAAGGCCGCCAATGTGAGCGCCCATCTCAGCCCTGCTCTCTCGGTCGGTGCTTTTCTCTCACACTCAACCTCTGCCGGGCGAGACAAGGTGGGAAAAATAAAATAAATAAAAAAAAAAAAAATAAAAATAAAAAAGAACCAGAGGAGCTGGACAACACATCAAACACCAGCTAGCTGACTGGGCCAAACGCACCTCGCGCGCCCTGTATTCGTTCAACCCCAAATCCTCTCGCTGTTCACGCTGCTCCTATCCTCCTCTTCCCATCGTTTCTCCAGCCACCCAGATCGGAATTTTCCTTTTGCTGTATCACCTGCTTGCCCCCACCACCGACCACCACCACCAGCGCCGCCCGCTGCAACCACCGCCTGGCCCTCGAGCCTCTCTGAATGCTACCCTTTTGATTTTTTTGATTTTTTTTGAATTTTTTTTTTTTTTTCAATTCCCTCGTAAGGCCACTCATCTCCCACATCGTGCTTACGCACTGCTGCCATCTCCTGCTGCTTGGCTGCCCAGCGATATCATCTCGACCACCTCCCAACCGGTGAAGCTAGCTAGTTACGTCCGCTAGTTAGTTCGTTGTGCCTCGAGGAACAACCACAACAAAGCAAACAGACCAACATCAACAAACCAGATTGTGAGCATTGCCTCTCCCTCGCAACCCAATCCAAGCTTCAAGCAGATACCTTAGAAATAGAAAAAAAATCGGTTTTTCTCTCATGTGAATAGAAGGTTGGCTGACTGCGTTCCTCAAGGCCTCTCAAACAACAACAACAACACCCACCCCCAGGCGACATCATCGCATGGTTTCCGGAACATTTCTCAGCAGGTAATAGTCGCTGTGTCACAGAACCAGATGTCTCCAACAAGCCAGCACTCTTAGCCTCTTCACAAGTCGAATCCTGCAAGTTCTTTCGCTTTTCCAATTCCACGAAGTATCCATACATATATAACATATACATACCTCGCGAAGACCGCCCTCCGCTTGGCTATCTCTCCCTTCCTTCCATCCTCCCTTTGCATCCACCTTTTTTTTTTTTTTTTTTTTTAATCAATTTTTTTCTTGAGTATGATATTGGCCGGATAAGGGTCCTTGATCAAGATGGGTGTTGACACCCGCAAACCGATTCTCCCAGCACCCACAGATTCTACTTTCCTCGACACAACCGGTGGCAGCGGCACAGGCACCGGCACCGGCACCGACATCGCCACTGATATATCCCGCCGCACTGACAAAACATCCTACTCCCTCCCCGACGACGGAAGCCCAATCACCATTTCCACTCGCCGCAAGTCCCAGCCTCGCGAGCGAGAGGAAAGCAAGGTGTCGCCCTCTGGACACAACTCCCACACCTCCCTTCTGATAGAGTACTTCGAAGGCGGGAAGAGATCCAGCGGCGTCAACTCCCGACCCAGCGTGCGTGTCAGGGTGACTCCGTCCTCGTCACGCAAGAATAAAGATCGAGACGACCACGTTCACATCACCGAGACTTCCTCCGGGCGCAAGCCGTCCTACACCAGGCGCATCTCCCTCGGGACGCCTAATCGCACAAAGGAGTCGACAGAGGGAGCCGCTGACGATAGCTCGGCCACGTCTGGAGCGGATGAGACCCCGACTGCGCGCCAACCACCGGTAGAGATCGAATTTGTGGACCGGAATAGCGGTGTCTCCTCGCGATACGTACAACCTACGTCTGAAATTTCTTCCATGCCCCCCGAGAGCCTGTTTGGGAGCACGATGGGTGGTGCTTCCGAGACCCAACGTCGCAGACGCCATAGTTTCAGTGACGAAGAAGAATTTGAGCAAAACGATAATCTGCTGAAGACACCCTCACGTAGAAGGAGCCGCAGCCTGAGTCGTGAGAGGATCGCGCAAAAGGCCGCGGAGAAACTGAGCAGTGCGCCGAGAGACCACGTCTCGCAACCAAAACAGAGACCGAACGAGAGAACCCAGAACAGCAGGGATATGGGACGGGATATATTTGAGTCCGATCTAAAGTCTCCGAGAAAGCGATCCGGAAAGCATCGAGAGAAAGATCTGATCAGTCCAGAGTCCAGCCTGCTGAGTAACTCTGCACTTTCACACAACAAAGTCGGCGGTGACCAATGTTCTTTCCGATCGGGCACTTCACGTTCATCTCTCAATAATCCTAAGCTCCTAGAGACCGTGGAAGACGCGATTCGACGACTCATTCTCCCCGAGCTAAAGGAGCTAAAGAAAGATCAGAAGGTGCAATCCAACCGTGCGAAGTTTGAACACGACACAAGTGCCTCCCGCGCCTCGGGAAGCGTTGGCTCGAAAGACGAATTAACCAGACGCTTGTCGAAGCATGCCAGCGCTCCCGATGTGAGTAAGCCACGGCTGGTCGTTGGCAATGAAGATCCCCAGAGTCCGCGGAGCCCGTCAAACGAATATAGCAGCAGAAGAGAGCGAAGGCGGAAAAAGCAGCATTCACCGCCACGAGAACGGAGGGGTTCGAAATTCGCCGAATTCCTCGCCCCAGAAGAGCCAGGAATCTACCGGAAGAAGAGTAAAGGTCTTCGCGACGCCGAAGCGGCAAAGATCGTTGGAACAGCCCTTACTGCGGCTGCGTTGAAGCACCATGATTCGACGTCGAGCTTTGGTAGCAAGCGGGAACGCGGCTCGCGACGTAGCGGCAGTGGAGGTATCAACGAGACTGAACTTATCTTTGAGAAGCACGATGTGGCGCCTATGCCTCACCTGCGGAGCGAATTGGAATCACAAGTCACCAGACAGTCTATTCAATCACAGATGTCCGATAACAGCGCCGGCCCTCTCCGCGGAGAGGTCGTCCGCGGCTCACCCCGGGAAGTTACCTCACCCACCACTAGAACTCTCGATATTACTCCACGAGCTTCGCAAAACAGCCTTAAATCGCCCCGAAGTAATCTGTCAAACCCTCCGCTCAATATCGACGAGATCGAGCAGGAACCAGCTCACGAACGAGACGCCTCTCCAAGCCCGGACATCCCAGGCATCGACATTGATTATCCCTACGGTAAGGAGGGCGGCAACCTATTTTTACAGCGTGGTGCGCTCAGCCCGATACAGAGCGTTGCAAGTTGCCAGGAGGAGCAAGAGGAGAATGAGGAAGAGCAAGAAGGTATTCAACATGCCCCCTTAGCCCACGGCGACCACCGACTATCGATTGATTCTCTTTCTTCAGCACCAAGCACAGACCTAGCGAGGTCGACGCGAAACACAGACCATAGCAGCGAGAGACGAAGAGCCCTGAGCGATCATCAGAATGAATCTGGTGTAGAGCTTGGATACGGTGACTCCCCCAGACTTTCGCGGAGCGATGAGCACTGGGAGGAGAGTCAGCACGAAGAATACGATGACGACCATCGAAGCGTAGGAGAGGAAACCGAAGTAGGAAGCGTCGACGCGAAGCGAATGACCAGGTACACTGATGAGAACTTTGACGATCCCTTTGATCCAGGTCACGAAGTTGCAAGAGGTGCCGCTGCCAACGCGGAGTTTATCCATACGCCGATCGGTGTGGAATCCGCCGTGGCGTCTCTGCTTGATCCGTCTGTCGTGGATGCGGGGTCGACTCACTCGCCAGTCCTCGAGTCACCTAGCCGTCCCCGCAGCTGGGGTTCTTCGGGTTCCGTGAGAGAGTTGACTCGCGATGTCACCATAAACAGAAAAGGAAGCCCCCTGAAACAACAGTTAAACATTCCCTCCGGACCCGCTGAGACATCGTTCCAGAAACGGATGGGAGTCAGTTCGCCGCCTCAAAGCGTCGCAAACTCCACGGATGAAGATGACAGACCATATATGGGTGCCACCGGCCTTCCAAGCGCCGGAAGCCCGATCCCCGAAATTGGACATATTCCGGACTCAGAGGAATCTGAGATCAATACGAATCCGTCAATCATACAAGGTCCGATCGGCGGCATGCCGCAAGGCAGTCGTGAACATTGGCCCTTTGATTCCAGTCCCCCAGGCGTCGAGGGAGATATACTGACTAATCCGAACCAATACCATGACCCTCTCGAACCAAGTCCCTTGCTCATGGACAGATCTGGACCTACGGGATTGGGAGTGATCGCCGAAGAGAGCGCTCCTCTCGATCAGCCATACTATGACCAATCAAACGCCTATCACAACGACCGTGTCGATGTGATTTCTCCCGGAGGAGGGAAAGACGAGGGTTATATCTCTGGTGCGAATCACCGATCTGCCAGCTCCGCTACGCCAGAGCCAAAGGGGAAAGGTCTGGCGGCGCTGGAAGATATTCCGTTTAGTAGCCCGTTGGAAGAGGATGACGATCCATATACGCACAGACGACAGCTCAGTGGGTTTTCTCATGGCATTGCGTCTCCTCTGTACGATAGTGCTACTGGACGTGGGATTGATATGATTCAGTCGAAGGATATTGTCGCGCTTATGGATCATGTTTGTCTACCATCGTTTTTTCTTCTGCTTTGGCCTCTCCCTCTTTTTATTTATATATATTTATTTTTTTATATCCTGATACTAACCGCTATTCTAGTTGACCGTTCGGGATGCTCAGAGAAATGCTCGTGATACTGAGATATTGGTCACTCTCGTACGCAGCGCGGCAGAAATGCGCAACTCTTTCGAAGATATGAAAAAATTTATTGCGACGCAGGACGAGAAATTACTGGATACTACCGAAAAACATCATGGACAGACTCGTCAAATGCTCAATGGACCTCGACCACAGCCAGCGAGCGCTTCACGGGCCCCGAGACGCATGTCGGAAGACGATGATGATACGCCGACGAAGAAGAAGAACGTGTTTAAACGCGCGCTGAAGGGTCTGAGCTTGAAGAGTTCCAATGATTTGACGCACATCGAGGATATGCTTGTTCATCTACTTGGGGAAGTGGAGGCTTTAAGGGCTACGCAGGAGAACCAGCTACGGGGGAATACGCTGACGGAAACTCGTAACTCACTGGATAACCCCCGCGGTTCTTTAGATGGTTTCGGGTCTCAAGGACAGCCGGCAAACGGCTCGAATCAGTCCGCGCGGTATTCGAACTCTCCTCGTTCCACCGGCGATGCCAAGCACTTGTCCCTGCAGCATGAGACCGAACGCCGTATTAGCCCGGTGATGGAGGATAACGAAGAGCCCCTGACGCCTCAGGAAGAAGTGCTTCTTGACCCTCAGATGAACCCGGATGCTCATTTTCTCGGCCGCCATAAGCGAGGAGGGTCGGTTCCGATAACAACCCCTGAACGAGTTGCCGTCGCCAGTGGAGCCTTGAGCAACGAGACAACACCCAAGATGTCCACGGACAAATCTCGCAAGCACAAATCGAGCAGCTCCTCTTTCTTCCCGAGAGTATCACGCTGGTCGAAGACGACAGCGTCCTCTATGGGCGAGAACATCAAGAACAGCATGCAGCTGGGCCGGAAGGAGCGTCCGTATTCAGAAATGTCGCGCTCCGGGTCCGATCTGAATCTGAGCGGATATGCTACGAACGATTGCTACGACCACCGAGGTGACGATCGACTCCGCTCAAACGGCAGTTTGGATCGTGAAGACAGATCCGAGAATCGACCGCCCTCTCCCCTCGTCCCGTCGCAGGTATCAGAGATTCCGAAGTATCGCGCTCACAGGGATAGTTTGAACCTTCAACACCCGCAGCCGCGTCCTGGCGCACGGTACCAAACGCACCTTGAAACGCAGGCGCATAACTACACGCATATGGAGTCACCGGCGACCGAAGCTTGGGCGTCGAACCATAGCGTCGAAGGAGCTGGCTATCAGCATCAGCCTCAGTCTAACGCGGGTCGTCGGTCGCCACTTTCCGACGGAGGATATTCGGCTACTTCATCCATCACCAGTAGACACACTGGGCCACCCCGACCGCCCAAGATCAGAGACGAGGGCCCCTTAGTTCCACACCGACCAGCGAGTATTAAAGATGGAGTTCAGCCAAGCTATGCGGAGAGAGTCGCGCTGCGGAAAACTGGTAATATGAGCAATCCAGATGCGGTATGTCCTTTTTTTTTTTTTTTCCTTTTTTGGAAGATTTTCAATCCTCTCTACTAGTTACCTACTAGTTTTTTCAGGGACTGACCCCTAACTTTACTTGTAGAAAATTGGGTCACCTAAGGGATCTCCCGGCCGCACTGGTCCTCAGCGGAGACCTACCGGTCCTCGACCAAACCCCAGTTCTGGGAAATATAGCAGTGGTCAAGGTGGTTTTTCCAATGTGAAGAGACACACAAAGCATCAGGGTAGTCCGCATCAGATCGATGATGAGGACGACGAGTATTAAATTTGCTATTTTTCAGTTTTCTTTGTTTGTCTTTCCACTTTTCCGTTTCCAGGCCTGTGAACACATTTTGTCTATCAGTTTCGATTTCTTCCGTGCTCCCATGCACCGCTTTTGCTGTGTGGCACTTGCGACAAGTGGAAGACGATCCATTATGCAAAAGGTTGAAAAAGGAGAGCGCTTTTGATGGATCCTCTCCTTTTTTTTTTTTTCTCTTTTTTTCCCCCCCTAGACAAAAATAATATTGACTCCCCCTTGTGTTTATGATTTTTCTATTCCCCCTTCCTAGCTTTCCTTCGCGTTGCTGTTTCTTTTCTTTTCTTTTTTTTTGAAGCCTCGTTGCGGATTGGTATGATGACTTGATGACAATGGCCTCCCTTCTTTTTTTTTGCTTTCTCTTCTTCGATTTAATTTGCCTATGCAGCTCAGCGCCGATGATGAAGCTTTTGACTGTTAAATCCTGCGGGCGATAAATGTGGGCCTGGGTTTTGTCACCTTCGTTTCTGCGTCGTGTGCTTTTCGCTTTTACCCCCCTTCTTCTTTTTTGTGTTTCTGGTGTATGAATTAAACCCCCCTATGATCAATGTGAAAAATGTATTCCAATTCCAATTCCAATCCTAATATCTGTGGCTGCGGTCTAGCCAGTCAGTACTGCGTAAATAGCTGATATTGCAGCAAAGTCTTGGCGGCCGATTCTCCCGCCGAAATCACGCCGCAGAGACCGCACCAGCCAGTTTAACTACGTCGACGGTTGTGCATGCATGAAATACCCCCCATAGGCACACACGCCGCGTCCCGTCCACCCTTGCCCTGACTCCCTAATACTCTGGAAAAAGTGATGCTCGCGCCCCTCCATAGATCCGCGCATCACCACACCATCCGACTATTCTCGTCCCACCCGTTCAACCACATTCTCCACTACGTCTCATCACCAACAGCAACCCGCAGCAGTAGAAAAAGAGATATGTCGTCTGCTCCGCAGGTACGCGCGCAGTCAGAACAGCAGCAGCAGCGGGGGAGAATGCGCAGATTCGCGCCGTTGAATCCGGAGGTGAGGGTGCGGCTCGGAAGTGGGGGAACAGCGCCGGATTTGAAGGGCGTGGTGTTTGATGTTGATGGGACACTCTGGTGAGTTCTTTTCCACTCTTTTCTTTCATTTCATTCCTCTTGGGTTTGGTTTGTCATGTACGTCTCTTGAGGAGGGAATTTGCTTCCATTTTCCTTGTTTTATTCTATGGTCATGGAGGAGGACATATATATACCCCCACTCCATGGGATGCTGCGAGCAAGCAGGTGTATCAGCTCTTCAGCGTGAATTTTTCGCAACGATTAGGCCTGATGAGCTTCCATTCTTCCGCTTCAAGGGAAGAAAAGAGTGTGTTTCATGACTTGAATTGCTGCATTATCTCCTATTCAAATACATCAAGCTAACCCCCCAGTCTAGCCTGCCACAGCACTACATGTTCCAAGAGATGCGGTATGTGCTGCCTTTCATCTCAGCTATCCCGTCTCGCCCGGAAAAGGATAATCCAGCCCAATGATAACACCAGCACTTGTATCTCGTAGGTCCGCATTAGGCATCGATAAATCCGTGGACATCATAACCCACATTCGCGGCCTTCCCACCCAGGAAGAACGAACGGCCGCCGCAGCCAAGGTCCAAGCAATCGAGCGCTCTGCGATGGTTAAGCAGAAACCTCAGCCGGGCCTCACCCAACTCATGGACTACCTCCACTCAAGGGGCATGAAGCGAGCACTGTGTACGCGAAATTTCGAGTATGCTATGTTCCTCTTTATCTAATTGTTTTGTTTTCCTGGCAGCTGATTTGCTTGTTGAAGGGCGCCGGTAACGCATCTCCTGACAACACATCTGCCCACGCATGTATTCACTCCGATAGTAACTCGGGATACTCCCGATTTGATGCCAAAGCCGGACCCAGCTGGTATCTTGCACATTGCGAAGGAATGGGGGCTGGAGAATGGAGCAGATGACTTGATTATGGTGAGTTTGCAACCGACTTTCCTCCCCTACGGGAGGAAAAATAAAAAAAATCAAAAAAAAAGAAAAGGACCGCTTTCCCAAGCCCTGGCCATTCAAGGTGAGGAAAGATAGCAAATAACATATTCGAATCTCTAGGTCGGAGACAGCCTTGACGACATGACAGCCGGCCATAAAGCCGGAGCCGCCACCGTGCTCTTGGTTAACGACCGTAACCAGGCGCTGAAAGAACATGACCACACGAATCTGTGGATAGAGCGCTTGGACGATTTGATTGACATTTTGGAGAATGGGTTTGTATCTCCCAGGGAAGATTAAGTAATTTAAGGCCCGCGGTGACGGGTTCCCCTTTCCCCTGTGGCTTTCATGCACTACTACTAGTTAACTACCCGTAACTCGCCATAGAGACAAATGATGTAAATAAATAGCTACTGAGCATAGAACTAAACATGGCTTTAATAGACTTGCTGTACTCTGTAGTGCCTAGTTCTATCTGTTGTTAATGAGTCTGATAGAAAATTCCTGACATGCGAGTTGACCAACATAGATCTTAATTTGGTGCGGGCTACTAGTGTTTTCTATGGATCAGCGCTATGCATGGCAAACATGGCGGATACCCGATTCTTTTGCTACAAACTACTCCATAGCCCCTGATGTCATGGGCCTCACTACGCGAAGCAGTAATTACTAGTTATTTAGGCCATGACAGTGGGGCAATTAGGAGGTTCCATATCAGTTTCTCCTTTTTTTCCCTATCCCCTTTTTGTTCCTCCTGGACAAAAATGAATCAGAGAGCTCGGTGACCCGGGGACAACTATTTTCCCCTTGCAAAATAGACGTATGTGCTCTGTACCTTGTTACAATCAGCGACAAGCCTGCTTTAAGATCGGCCTTATGATGATTTCCTGGACGATGCGAACCTAGCAGGACAGGATCATTTCTCGTCTTAGCCACTGACTGCGCGTATGTACTGTATAAGCCCAGTAGCCTAAAGTGCACGGCTGGCAGGTATGTTCTCTGGCATCAATAGAGCCATTAGCAACGCAATGCTGTTGCAAGCCCATCGACTTATTCCTCGATTCCCCGCGTGGCTGAACCCAAGGACGAAAAAAAGAAAGCGTTTCGGCACGGCTGGTCAAAAACAATATGCACTAGAACTTGGAATCGCATATTTTCAAAACCTATGCTTGTCCCAAGCCCGCTTCGCGGCACTGGGCATTGGTCGATACACATCCCTATTATCGGAATTTTTGGCGCCTTTCCCACCACGAGAGCCACCCCTTTTGTTCTTGCTCCCGCCCCGAGCAGGCGGCGGCGGCAGGGGTGGTAGTGGGTGTCGTCCACGTCCACGAGGTGGGGATCTGGGTGGTGGATGTCTGCCAGAACCACCGCCTCGCTGCCGTGGAGGGTACGGTTCGGGCGACAAGGACCGTTGCCGAGAGCTACGGCCAGCGAAGGGTTCTCGATCGCGATATTCGCGTCCATAATCGTGAGGTATGTACCTATCACCTCCGTTTCCATCCTGGCGGTCTTCGCCTAGATTTCGTCCGCGACCGATTCCACTACCGAATCGGATATGTGTACGAGGCGGCTGTTTGTTGAGTGGCTTCCAGCGGGTAGATCCGGTAAAATCGTCATTCTCCTCATCTGATTCCGCACGTTCATTGGCACGTCCTTTAATCCGCAGGCCTGTAAGATGTTCATCTCTGTTGGTATTCTGTCCGTCGAGGGAAAGCTTGGTGTCGCCAAGATTGGCAATAGAGGCCGGATCAACGGTTCTCAGAGTCCAGGACGAAGAGTTCATAGAAAACGGCCGGATTGGACAGTCGCCCAAAAGGTGTTGTTTGCTCGTGCAGAAACTGCAGCATACAGACACAAAGATTTGACTTATACCTAGGTCACGTTTGGGTAGCTTCCATAGCAGGTCACATTCACCCTCGATGTGTTGGCTAGAGCCGCAGAAATCGCATGGAACTTCGGAGGCCAATCCCTTGAGCAGAGAAGGGCAGTCAACCTCATCATGGCCCCGTTCTCTACACCTCTGGCACCGCCTCCAAGCGGGACAAAATCTGCTTTCGTGTATGCCCCAAGCGCCACAATGTTTACACTGTTTTCAGAGTCAACTTCTCAGATAGCTCATATTTCTTTTGGTAAGAGAAGCAAAAATATAGTTTTGAAAAAAAAAACAAAAAAGAACGAGAGCAAATAAGAAAGGAAGTGAAAAAGAGGAGAGGGGAAGGGAACAATGGAATTCTCACTTCTTTATAAGGGCAGATCTCCGAAAGGTGGCCTTCCGCCATACAATCTGTACATCTAATCGGCAGATTCATATCAACATTTTTAAGTTCTTTGTTGTAATGAATATACTTTATCTGCATGTCTCGGTCCTCTCGGGCAAGGTCAGCCAGAGTGCGTGGAGGAGAGGGGTATTTTGAACTAAAGGACTCAAATGCTGCAATTTTCTCTGCGCTGTTGTGCTTGCGAGAGACTGCATTATCACGAGAGACAGGTGGTTGTTCAATAACACTCTCTGCTCTGACCTCTTGCATCTGGGTCTGGGTCTCAGTGGGCCCATTTGCGTGGGAATCAAAGGTCTCCATTCCATTTATTGCACTTGTTTGTACAACGTTTTCATTTTGAGTCGGCGTGCTCAGGTTGAGCATTATGGAGTTATCAGCCTCTGCGTCACTCTCAAGCTCCGAGTCCTCAGACATCACCAAGCCTCCAGCACTTTCGTTTGATATCCTCCCATCATCACCAGAATTGTTACCTGGCTTATTTGCACTTGGCGTCGAGCTGTTGGGGCGCTCGTCTTCCGAGGCGGAAGCGCTTCGACTACGCCAATATCTGTCATTGACAGCGTCGAACGCGGCGGACGCAGGCGCAGAGACGGGAGTGGATGTGCCTCCAGACCCACGGAGGCTTGTTCTGATCGCGCCCCCGCCGCCTTTGTTCCAATTGACGGCAGGCTGCATGATCACGTCGGAGAGAGGTTGCGCAGCGGCATCTGAAGGCGAGTGCTGGCTTCCACCGTCGTCTGAGAGCTGATCTGAGCTGGAATCTCCGTTTTCGACGGGGAGCGACGCATTTGTGAAGGTGGCGCCGCGCGGGACGAAATCTAGGGGATCCTGGCGGCCGGCCCTGCGACTCCTCGGCGGGCGACGGCCTCTGGCGGACTGCGACGACGACGACAATGGCGGTGGTGGCGGCGGCTTTGTTACGCGGGAAGGTTTCTGCTTGGATCGAGGGCGGACGGCAGCGGTCCGCGAGTCGTCGGCGCTGTCATTTCCCTGGTCGCGGCCAGGCATGACAGACGGACACACCAACGGCAGCAAGTAGTGGGGTAACTAGTTAGGTGGTTCACAGATGAATCAGTTAGCCCAACACCGTTCGCAGCAGCAGCTTTCTCTCTCTCTCTCTCGCTCTCTCTCTGTGTGTTGTCTCTCTCTCTCGTCTTGTTGTCTGGTTTTCGCTCTGAATATTTGCATGCACGTGCCAACATGTTAGTCAGCCACGCCATCCCCCATCTGGCCTAGTGCGGCCGGTGCCGCAAGATGACGACGGCAGAAGCTTCGAACTTCAAAAACGCCATCGCGCTGCCTGTCCGGACATCTTCATCCCCCCGGCCCTTCTTCAGTCGTGCTGCTGCTCTGCCATCCCCCCCCCCGTCTGCCTCCGTCGACCCGCCCTGGAAGTGCCCTTGATATTCCCTCTCGCCGCTCTTCTCGTCGCCCGAAAAACACTTTTCAAATCTCAATTTTTTGCTTGCTTACATATCTCTTAAGGGGGTTTTTTTTTTTCTTTTGAGGGTCTGATAGTCATTGGTACCTTTTTTTTGTTGTTGTTGTTGTCACATAACTACGGAGTGCTTACTACCAACTATACATATCGCTTGCCACACAGGACAGCCATTCTACTATATACAATCCTACCTGTGAATACTACCTACTGCCCGGCCGCCGTCTCCGCGCCCAGCGCCTCCTGCCTGCCTGCATTCCGCTCGCTTCTTCATCTCCATCCTCCTCTTCGTCCTCTTTGTCCTTCCGTTACAACCCACTCCCGATTTCCGGCCAGCTTTGTCTTCAAACTCGCCTCGGTAGCCAGAACCCCCCCGGGCCTTTTAGCGCTAGCAGTGCTACATCGACCTTTTCTCATTGCTTTCGATCCTCTTCGCTCCACACTCCCGATTCTGCTCTTTCTTTGCCTCTCCCTTTCCTTTCTCCCCCCCTTTTTTATTTATCTATCTATTTTCTTTTTATATTTTTTTTTTTTTTAAAAGAAAGGGACCCGCCCAACACCGCCAAACTGTCGTCCCTCCTAGTTCCCCGAACCTCCGCCCTCACGGCCGAACTCGACCCCGGAAAGCTCAATCGGCCAAACCATCTTTCGCCCGACGCCGCCATGTCTCAAACCAAGACAGGCCGCAGACGGCGCTCCAGCAGCATCATCTACCAGGAGCCGCAGGAATCCATCGAGCATACCAGCGACCAAGCCGCCCTGCCGAACCTAAACGCCAACTGGGTAAATGCGAAAGGTAAGTGAGGGGGTTGGTGGTTCTTCCTTTTTTTTTTTCCTTTCAAGCAGCCGAAAATACTGTCGCCGTGACCCTGAGGCGCGTCTCCGCCGCGTTTGCAATGCATCTGGCTGACTCTTGCGGGTGTTTACTGCAGGTGCCTGGACCATCCACTTCGTCCTCATCATCGCCCTCAAGATCTTCTACGATATCATACCCGGTGTCTCCCAGGAGACTTCATGGACCCTCACCAACATATCCTACATGTTCGGCTCCTTCCTCATGTTCCACTGGGTCCGTGGCGTACCCTTTGAGTTTAACGCCGGCGCCTACGACAACCTTAATATGTGGGAGCAAATTGACAATGGCGACCAGTACACCCCAGCCAAAAAGTTCCTCCTCAGCGTTCCAATAGTCCTGTTTCTCCTCAGCACCCACTACACGCATTACGACTTGACATATTTCATTATCAATTTCTTGGCAGTCCTTGGTGTCGTTATTCCAAAGCTTCCGATAGTGAGGGCCCCCCCAAAAACTCTCTCCCCTTCCCCTCTTGTTGGAGTTTCTATCCCGGCAAGACCATCGTGGATATGCCAATGAGTCAAAATGGGAATTTGAGCTAACACACTCATCCAGTCTCACCGCATGCGGATTGGTTGGTTCGTTGAGGAGGACGAGGATTCGTAGTCTAAGCAAAGCGCAAAACAGCAAATTTCATATTGTCATTTTTTTTTTTTTTTTTTTTCATCCCCTTTTACTCCCTCCCGTGAGAATGCCGTTGGGACATCGCCCGCTCTGTAACTTGGAACTGTGTGTCGGCTTTAGCGAAGTGTTCTTTTTTTTTTTTTTTTTTTTTTTTTTTTCTGTTCTCCCCTCGCAATCGACGTCTGCCAAGTCCTCATGCCACTCTATGTCAATTTTCTTCTACTTAGAATTATCGAGATAGAAAAAAGCGAGCTCACAAAAAAACACTAGGCTTCTATTCCGGAATGACACGTCCTTCGCATTCAATACTTTCGGAGAACGGAAAACGGAATTACTTTGCACTTTTTAACAAAATAGGCCTAGTGCCTTGGCATTTCCATCGTTTAACCAAAAGGTTTGGCTGGCGGGCACTTCTTGGCAGCCAGGGGCTTAAAAAGCGACTTTGTTTACGGAGTAGTTAGAGAAAAGCTTTGCCAGCTCCATACTACTACAAAACACCGAGGCCACCAGCCAGCAGATATGTATAATAATGTACGGAGTACGCTGCTCGATGCTTGGATTCCAAGACCAAGATATGACGGGCATTCGGAAGAATCTGATTGGCCAATTTAGCATTTCACCAGGCCGTCCTCGAAGTGTAAAAGCATACATGGAGTACTCTATATATAGTACGGGGCGTACGGAGCACTCCGGTTCTCAAGCATGGCTTCAGGGGGCCTGGCAGACAAATTCCCACCACGATACAAACAGCCGCGGCTGACTCAAAAGGTCATGGAAAGGAGTCATGCTTTTTTTCCATCCCCCCCCCCTTTTGTACGGAGTACTCCGTATGTGTATCTGTCTCTTTGTATACGTGTACACCGTATCCATGTCAGCATCGCCATAGTGTCTCAGTCAAGAACGAATGGACTGCGTATTCCAAATGATAAGGTTGGATAACTTTCACCAGGTAGTCAGCCCAATCATTCTGCCACTTTCAATCATGAGAGGGCATCCTGAGTACGGAGAACTGCTAGGAACTTCCACAGGGGTTGTAACCTCTGCGAGCACGGCGGGCTAAATCATGCTAGCCGCAATCACCCCAAGCTGGCTAGATCAGTCCGTGACAAGGGTACATATGCATGGGCGACGCCGTCGCGAAACGCGTAGAAGTGCCAAGATGTCTTGCAGAAAATTTAAGTTCGCTGCGGTTTGCTTCTATTGGGTGGTGGTTATGGATGGGAGCTGAGAGTTGAAATGTCAAACTTCTCAACTCAGGTCTTCACACCAACAGTTACCATCTAGTAGATAAATGCAGGGATTAATTTGCGAGTAACACCAGAGAAAGATACCACTTCCGCTGGGGGGGAGGCCTAAAAAACTGATGCTGACTCTACAAGGGTGAAAGTTGGATTTCCTCTCCATCCCTATCCAACGCAACCCACCGCGATGTTGCATGGCCTTCTCGGGAACAAACCCAAGTAAAACTACTCGCCTTACTCCTCCAACATGCCAGCCTACTCCTCAAGGCCAGCTCGTGGGAGAAGAACGAAGCTATATATTTTCTCAACGTTGAAGTTGTGGAGAAGACAATCGGTAGGCCATATCAGTACCCACAACGTAACATATAGTCAGTAAGCTAGTTGATTAAATAAATACAAATTTGAATGCCAAATGTTTCTTTTATATTTTTGGTCCACGCAGATGCGATATTACATGTATGTATATCCAATCCCAACAACTGGTCGATAACCAGTACATGATGCACCCGTGTACGTACATTTCATATTTTGGACAACCGAGTAACCGTTCAATTGGTTTCACTTCCATATCTCCATACTATACAACCATCTGTGCGCACAAATTGTCTGTGCACCCCTCAGAAAGGCAAGCCGCCCATCCCAATAAGGATGAGATAAATTTCTGGGAAAACACCACAAAACCAAAGCCTTGTTGCCATGATAGTCCATCCCGTCAAGGATAGTGCTCCTCCAATGCTTTCTTCACCGCTTCCAGACACTCTCGCGTGCGATATTTCTGTAAGTCGTCCCAGCCGTGCTCGTGATAGATGTTCTGCAGCATGGATATCATTCCATCATTTGGTGGAGAGTACAAGGTGTAGACATCCGTGACCAACTGCTCGCTTGTGGGCGCAAAGTGAAGCTGCCAAAACTGGGACTCCTTAACAATCTCAAAGACATCCGCGATCTCCCAGACTGCACCACTGGCACGCCATACCGACTCAGTCTCCCGCGCGTAGTCATATCAAATGTAATCATATCTCTGTAGATATCCCGCAGGGCGGATGAGTTGTACCGGATCTCCCCGGGACACTCAGGCTAATAAAATGACGCCGCTCTCTCTGTCCAGCAGGAATACCGGGTTGTCTCGCCCACTTTCTGTGAGGCCAATCACATGAGCTGGTATCTGTTCATACTAGGAGGCGTCCATGCCAACGACCCTGAGGTCTTCGCCGGAAACTGAGTTGTGGCTGTTAAATTCCCAGTCGGCGAGGGCAGCACACTGAGTCCTGGCGGGGTAGTTATTCAGCATTTTGATGTTATGGGAGATGATGGAGCAGTGAGATGATTTCGTCTGTTTTGCCTAGGTCTTGCACGCTGACACCACAGTAGTCAACCATGATGTTGTCAGGCTTGATATGTGGATGAAGGTAGATAGGGGCTATGAAAAAGGAAACTGGCTCTGAATCACTTAAACGGATAACATCATGGCTGTTGTGGTTCAGCAATCCCTTTCAAGTAAGCTTTGGGAATCTGTTTTCTGAACTGCTTAGGAATATCCTTGCCCTGGCAAAGTTCAGGAAGTCATCAGGAAGATATCTGTATACAAGTATCTGCTGATCTGGAATGATATTATGGGGTAATTATGTATATATGGACTTTCGTGAAGCCGAGGTTTATGTCCTCATTAAAGCCCGAGAATATGGTCTTCAAAACATCGTCTAGAACAAGTTTGTTCTGCCCGGATCTACAAAACTGTGAGGTCATTGGAATATACTATTAGGGGCAAGGATGCTTGTATGTTGCTAACCAGACGCGACCGAGTAACGCCGTCTCTCCTGAATCAGTTGCTTGAACAGACACCGACGCCCGGTAGCAACGATTGATTCAGTTGCAGGAGGAGCCATTCTCTCTGGTCAAAATTATCGAAAATTAAACCTTTGGGATGGCTTTGGCTTCATGTTCAATGGCAGATGGAGCGAAGATATTGGCTTTGCTCTCGTACTGTCTGATTCCGCCATATGAACGGGGCCGAGGGAGACAGCAAAGGGAGCCATAATGACCGTTTCTTGTGCTGTCCATGCAGTCCTAATCCGTACTCGATCGCCATTTCATATCATCGACTTCGACCATATTTTCTGGAACCTTTAGGAGCTAAAATACTTTCAGGCTGTGTGGATTTGCCCCGTCACGCTAAACTAGTTGGTCGGTAACCTTCTTTTGACTCTCCCGATTTGCTGGTCCTGGCTATCCAGAAGCCTCATTAACTTCTCGCGTCCCCTCGGCGCGTTGTCAACCAACTACGGCTTAGTTACTGGGTTAGCTGGCTGGAAACTCGCTCTAACAGCCATTACACCATCGCAAGGATGGTATGAGTATCTTCGATCCAGCCATGGATACCCAGGCGAGGCCTTCACGGTCCAAATACCGACCGACAAAGCAGCTCTCGTTCGAGCTCCGCGAGCACTGCGGCGTTTACTTCGAGGAACAACTATGTTCGTCTCCCCCTCACCAACAGCCCCGCACGGGCATAAATTATCCTCCACATTGTGAAAATTATCTAAAAACGAAAAGCAAACAAATCTAACTCTTCCAGATTGCCATGGTCTTAACCTCCTCCTGAGCCTCGTCTCCTCGGGCAGCGCAACGCCCGACGCGCCAGTTCCTTCACCACCGCCTGAATTCCTCGCCGTCGCCGCGACGATCGTCGTGCACCCGTCCACGACGACCCGAGCGAAATCTGCCGATAACAAGCAGGCCGCGAACATCGCCCTGCAGCTGCTCCGGTTGACGAATTCGCTGGTCGGCCCCCTGGCGGCGAATTTCGACGCCGCGTTTACTTTTACCCATTTCACCAAATCCCGGTCCGGAGCAAGGCGGGCCGTGGCGGACGATGGAGCGGAGAAGCCCATGGAGAAGGAGGCGTTGAATTTTGAGCTGGCGCATCGCGGCGCTCTGTGGTCGCGCGCGGAGGACTTTTGGCATGTTGTTGGCTGGGCGTTCAATTGTGCCGTTTTGCATCCGAGTCGGTGGCCGAGGTGGAGATTGCTGTTGGAGTTTTTGTGTGAGGCCCTCGAGGCGGATTGGAGGGAAAGAATGAGGCTGGTCGTGGAGTTGGAGAGAGATCCTGAGGGGGAAACAGCTGTCCGTGCGGAGTGCGAGAGGATTCTGTGCGGCAGTTTGATTTACCAGTATTACAAAGCGACGTCGGGAGTGTCGAGTCCGGATAGAAGGATGATGAGGGCTATATTTGCCGATGGAACTCCTGGCTCGACGAGTGAGTTTCGAGAAGTTTTCCATAAAGAGTTGCTGGAGCGCAAGGAGGAGACCGCTAAGCCGAGGAAACGGGAGGTCAACGTCAATATTGATGAGGAGATCTACGGGGACTACCTGGAGTGGGACGTCGACGACGACGAGAGTGATTCAGTCCGCAACGAACTCAGGGAGACGTTGCCTACGCGCCCAAAGAGACAGAGGACAACAAAAGCCCGCCATGCGGGTAATGACGACGTCGACAAGAACTACGATTTATTAAACAGAGCCTGTTCCGAAAACCTGACCATGCTCGGCGACCTGGACTCACTCGCTCTTCGCCAGCGCTTTCTGGCGATCATATCCCGCGTCTCAGCCTCCATCCCAGATCATTTCATGAGTGTTGATAGATTATACCTCCTTTACGTTGACTTCATCCGCCACCTGCCCCTGCCCATATTCCAAGTTTTCGTCTCGCCTTCTGTCCTATGTCAATTCTCCGTCGATGCCCAAACCACCCTATGCGAGATGCTCCTCGAGCGCCTCTGCGAAAGTAGGAAGCCTACCTGCCGAGAGCCATACCTCACCCAGGACAAGTTGGAGTTAGATTTTCTTCCCTACGCCGCGAGCACCTCCGATACTATCGACAACGCCAGGATGTCGATCTTGCTCGAGTCCGTGCTTCGTCTGCTAGCGGCGAGCGGATTGCTACAGGGCGGGCCGTCATTGAAGGAGGCGGTTGAGATGGGAATTGAGGCAAGGGCGGAGAAAGCGCTGAAGGATACGAAGATAGGGCAGAGTAAGATGAAGGCAGAGGAGTTTGGATGGACGTGGTTGATTGAGAGTGGAGAGCGATTGACGTGCCTGGTTGAGCGGGTTGCACCGCCTGAACCACCAGTGGAGTGAAATCTCATTGGGATGGCGCTAGTAAATGGATCGCGAATTTGGCATTGGTCAAATTGATATAGGAGACGTGTGTATCTGAGGTCCAACGGCAAAGGGCAGTGGTTTACCCATAAAGGATACCGTCCGTCCTTCGTGGTGCGAGTGTTGAATTTCAGAGATCTTATTCTGGTAATTACCGTTCCTCTTCACGGGGCCTGGTCCGGACAGCAAATAGCAAGATGGCAGCCGTGTGTACCGTGGCTGGCTGCACCTTCATAACGGCGTTGATTCCGTCCACGCGGGTGGTTTAGCCGAACAGGCTTCATATATACGCGCTGAGCTCCATACGGCAGACAATATTCCCGTTTTAGGGATGTTCGTTTTCGGAAACCGGTGGAACCGGCTCATGATGTCTATTTAGTATCGATCCTTATGAACGTACCGCCTTAATGCGTTGATATTATAATACCCAGCTACAACCCGATTTGATAGCACGGTCAATGATAGAAGCCCATACATCTACATGAGAGCATAATTAAACACAATTCTATGTACTTCAGAAAGAACTATTTCGGAATGTATTTACAGGTTTGCTCGCACAGTTCTTCAGGCAGCCGCGTGTCAATAAAATTAGGCTGTTTAAAGGGCCAGACAAAGGGCAACGAAAAGCAGAAACGATATATCAAGCCGAGCTTGGCGTGCAAAGGATTGGAGAAAAAGGTTGAAAAGGAAAAAAAAAAAAAAAAAATGAAGGATAACACAATGCATGGTATCAGTCGAAACATATAAGGGCCTAATTTCAAGCCATCCCGCCCACAACCACGTCGACACGACAGATACAGCGCAGATAACTTATCTGGGCGGGCGCGGGCCAATAATCTGCCTCCTCGCACCAAATCCGATCCCTGTCGAGCCTCTGTTCTGGTTATCGCCACCGATGTACCCGTACTGGTTAACATCCCAACCGCCTTCACCGGGACCCGTCCCCGCGGTATTCACGCCAGATTTAGCGGCTTCTCTAGTATGCTTTTGATTTTCTTCCCACTCCCGCTGGCGCTCGCGTTCTCGCTCCATTTCTCGCTCCAGGAGAGACTTCGATGCCCAGCCCCCGGCACGAGTCTTTTGAGTCGAAGCGACGCGGCGGCGGTTTTCTTCGTCGACTTCAGCTTCGGTGGAGAATTCCGGGGGTCGGTGGGAGGCCGGCTGGGTTGCTTGTGGTGCAGGGTTGGTCGCTAAGAATCGGTCTGTGCGAGTTTTGGGGTAGTTAGCCGGGTCCGGGAGTGGACGCGGAGATACGGGCGGCTCGGGAAGAGAGCGCGGTGGTAAGGCGGGTGGTGCGTGTTCAAATGTTGATGCAGCATCTTGGTTGGCTTGCCATTCGGACCGGAGGAGTTTCCGCTCTTCCTCCTGAGAGGTCAGGTCGTAGCTTGGTTTTGCGGGCTTGGGGGGTGGACGGCTGCGCGCACTATCTTGTGAGGCGTTGCTTGTGCTCGATACTTGACGCGAGCGGGCGAGTTCTTGACGCTCTCTCTCGTATTGTCTCTCTCTTTCTTTCGCAAGCTCGAGTTCCCGTTCGAGGGCTTTAATACGTTCACTCTCTGGCGTGGGAGCCGGTTCACCAGGAGAAGTCCCACGGTTTGATCGTTGACCCGCCTGATACTGACTCAAGAATTGGCCGTTCAGCCGAGCATCCGCAAGGCCGCGTTTCCGCTGCTTTTCTTTCTCCAGTCTTTCTTCAGCCTCCCTTTCCTCCTGCTGTCGCCGACGATCCTCTTCTTCCCATTGTCGCTGCTCCGCCTCCCACTGTCTCTTTTCCTCTTCGACAGCAAGCCGCTCCTTTTCCCGTAGCTTTCTTGTCTCCTCTTCCCATCTCCTTTCTTCTTCCTCCCTAGCACGTTGTTCCTCAGCTTCGCGTTCGAGTTGGCGCTGGCGCTCGGCTTCTTCCGCTTTTCGTCTCCGCCTTTCTTCTTCTTCAGCGGCCTCCTTTCTCCGTCTCTCCTTCTCGGCCAAGCTTGGGACAGGCGGAGTCTGAGAAGTGATCTGTCGTCTTGCGCCAAAGGATATCCCCAGATTTCCCTGACTAGCTCCTCCCATATACCCGTACTGGTGGATATTCCATGCTGGTAATGTCGTAGCCTCCTCAGTCTTAGTGCTCCAGGCGCTTACCTTGGCTGACCCAGGAGAACTTGGAGATGCCGGAGGTCGCTTTTCCGGGCTTGACCGTCCGGAAACGGGGCTAAACGGTTTTGAACCAGACTCGCTGACGTTGCTAGTTCCGCGATTTCGACCAGATGCGGAGGGTGCTTTGAAGCCGGTCTGACTAGATCCACTCAATTGAGGGCTCACCAAATCACTCTTGATCTTGCCAATTGCGCGTGGAAACCGTGCTGGCTGGATGGTATGGGCTCTCCGACTGAATGCAATGAGGCATTGGAGGACTTGGGCGGGATCCTTTGACTCGTAGAGATCGACTGTGAGGAAGACATCGTGGGGCTGAAGACTCAGGGGCACCATCTGACAAGCGTGGAGAAAGTGGGATATATTTTCCATTTGAACGAAGGGCATTGTTGAGACCTTGTATTTAACTCCCGGAGAACCGACGGCAAGGTTAACTAGCCTAGAAGCGTTTTTACCAATTAGTGCACTCGAATGTCCCTGATAAGACGCGACGTTCGCGCATACCGACAAAGAGCCACACCATCTTTCAGCGCTTCCAGGAAGTCGCCCGGAGGCAATCTCTCCTGCAAAACCTCTTCGATCCAGTCGCGTATTTCATTGGCAGCCTGGGGCGTGTATCTAGACAGGCGCAATGATCTGAGATCCTTATCTAGTGAAGTGACAGATGCCATGTTAGAAACTCGACTGAAGCCTGCGAAAAGATCTGGAGAAGAAAATGGGAGGAGTTTGTCAGAAACCGAGAAACATCTGAGCAATCGGGAACGTGATGTGGACGAAGGAGAATGCCGACGACGATGGGGCAAATCGATAGATCTCAAAGGCGGATCGACGGGAGGGGCTGGCTTACCTCAGACTGCGTGCTTGGCGCGCCGCCACACACCACCTGCCCGAAGGTAAAAATATAAAAAGTAAAAAAATACATAAAAAATAAGAAATACGGAGTAAGAAATAAAAAATAAAAACTAAGGCCCGGCGTCCCGCCCGGCCGCGGCCACCACCCCCCCCACCACCTCTCCCCCCTGTCCTGCGGCAGGGGCAGGTGTTGCTGGCTCTTGGCCAGCCTGGGCTCGAGCTGGCCTCTCAACGGCAACCAGCTCTATTGCCTCTTGCTGGGCAGGCCACCTTGAGCCAAGTCAGCATATACTGAACGACAAGGCTCACTAGGTTAGGGGTTACTTACCGGCGAGCTGCCCAGCTGCTGACCATAGGGCCAGCAAGCCACCTGATCCCCGCCACGAGGATCACCACCCCCCCCAGAACCCCCACCCCCACCACCGCCACCCAACCCGCCGAGGCGACCTCGACGGTCCTCATGATAAAATATATATATATATATATAATTTAATTTTTTTTTTTTTTTTTTTTTTTCCTCCTTCTCCTGTTGTTGTTGTTGTTGTTGTTGTTGCTGTTGTTGTTGCTGGTGCTGTTGCTGTTGTTGGTGTTGTTGTGGCATCCACAAGGGGAGAAAAGAGAAGAAGAGAAGAAGAGAGAAGAGGAAGAAACGGGGGGGGGAAGAGGGGGAATATATACTGGGGGAATGGGGAGCTTAAGGAAAGAGCTCTCCAGTGCTCTCTTTCCCTTCTCACTTCTCCCTTTACGGCAAGAGCGCTGAAACTGGAAACCGGCGACCCATGAAGGGCTGAATACAGAAGGAATAAACCCTTTCTCACTTCTCCTTTACGGCAAGAGCGCTGAAACTGGAAACCGGCGAGCCATGAAGGGCTGAATACAGAAGGAATGAACCTTTTCTCACTTCTCCTTTACGGCAAGAGCGCTGAAACTGGAAACCGGCGACCCATGAAGGGCTGAATATAGAAGGAATGAAGATGGAAAACTGCATTCAGTTAGGGGGGGCAGGTGCTCTCCTTAATCCCCCTTTATGGCAAGTTGAAATAGTGAACACAGCATTTGCACTCTTTGGTGCAGTGACTATATACATCTTCGGCTCCAATCAGACTTGAGCGCGGGCGGAAGCAGCATCCGCATTGTCGAACGCAGCATCCCCCTCTGGCCTTGCACGCTCTAACGTCTTTTGGCCACAGAGTAACCGGTTTGTTGTCCTTTTTGGCCTTCCATTGTCTTATAAGATGCGCCCGCCGTATTCTCCACATGTATGGTTGATAGAAGACAGTATCATACTGAAGCTGATACATTTCATCCTGATGTTTCCAGTACTTCGCCTTCAATATCTTCAGCTCAGTGTCCAATATATTCAGTTCCTCCATCTCTCTGGATGTATGCTTTTCGTTTTTCATTTCAATCGCCATCCTCTTTTCCAGAAGTTGCTCTCGACGATGAAGAGTCTCCAAAGCCTCCTTATCCTCGGCCTTGTAACGATCGGCTCTTTCCCCCTGCACATCCGTTTTGGCTATAGGCATGTGACACACAGTCTTGAAGATATTCAAGGCAGTTGCAAGTCTGAAGCAGTGATGATCGTCCAGGAACTTTTCAAGGGCTTCTGGCCAGAAGAGAAACATGGCTTTGTAATCTGAGGGTGAAAATGTAGGTAGATTGTCAAGCTCCCGGTAACAAATGGATATTGTGTGACTAATATTATGGGAAAATATTGTCCACATGAAGTACGGCTAGAGGAGTATTCAGGGGTGAAAATAAGAAGGAGAAAAAAAAAAAAAAAAAAAAGGAACGGGAAAAGGGTTAAATATGTAATCATGGGTATAGGTTCCCCTTTTCCCTTTTCTTTTGGGTTCAACATGGCATCATAAGTATATAGAGATGTCCGTTGTCATCATTGCATCATGAGCAGTGTTAGTGTGTTCAGACAATTCTATGATGAGTGCTGGTAGACGCAGGCGTGATGCTTGGCATCCAACCCATGGTTGTAG